TAATAAAAATACAACAAGAGAACATACCCTTCTGACTATAATTAATTAATTTTCATTAAAGCTTAGTCCTGTCAGTTAGCTATTTTACTGTATATGTACATGGTAATCTTTCTATACACTATTCTTATGTAGTGTTTATTTCCAGTTCGTTCTTCTAGGGTTCTTTTATCTGTTGAAGAAGAGGGATCTTACCCAGAACCTCCATATCCATATGCTTCAAAACTGGATAACCTGGGGAAATTGCTGGAAGAAAACTATACTGGAAAACCTTTCCGTGTAGAAGCTCTTGATGCGAATGTAGACGAGAAAGCTCTGATTCTGGAAAAATCTTTGGAAATGAATTACACAAAAATTCATCCTGATATGAAAGTTGCGGAAATGTCTGAATATCAAGCTATGATGCATCCGGATATTGCCACAGAAATCCATGCAAAATATGTTGCCATGGAAACGATGGCTCGAATAAATAATACTTCCAGCAAATGAAGTGTGCACTGGTTGGACAAATCAGTTTATTAATGGATCTTAACATCATCAACTTAAGATCTTTACAGATCCATGCCATGGAGAAAAAGTTTGAGTTGTTGAAAAATAAAAATAAAATAAATCACGAAGGCTACTTTACTTGTACATAAATTCATATGAGGGTCTCTTGTAAACAAATATAATACTATAAATTCACTTCTATCTTTCTGCATATCAAATGTAATATGATTCAAGAATATACATTTCAGGCTAGCTTTATCATCCTTTATAGTGAAAATGGTAGAATCTATACCATATATTGGAAACATAGCTTAACAAAAAATATAAATTAAAACAAAGCTTGCATATTTAAAACTTTTCTTCGGAATTATTTTTTTGTAGCTAGAGAATCGTTGAGGGGAGATTTTTTTTTTTAAATTTTGTTGTATTTTAAGTAGTTTAAAAATGTTTTTGAATTTTTTTTTTTTTTTGAGTAAAACGAGATATGGAGTAGTCGCTGTACTTCACACAAAAAGAAAAGTATATTTTAATTGTTTGTTTTTGAAGCTTTGAAGATTTTATTATATTATGTTGCAATATGTTTTGCATGCCGTTTTCATTCCAATTTTTTGGGGTTAAAATGTAGTAAACAACTTTTAAAAAATCCAAAATGTCAAAAGATTTCCCAGAATTAATAATTATGCTGCCAAATATACTATATTCTTGAGTCGGTATTTTGAAATCCATGTAGAATAAATAAAATATATTAATTCAAATTCCATCTCTTCTCTTGTCATCTGTCACTTTATCAGGTTCCAGGATGATTTGCATGACGTAATTGGCTGCGCATTGAAAGAATTTGTTAAAATACGGTACTTGCATTGCACATTATAGGACCTTGATGCACTTCGTTTAGTTTTGCAGATTGGGTTTAAAATGGCAATCTGTTGACCATTTTGTTTTAACAAATGCTGTTCCAAGAGTCATATCTTGGACATGCCTGGACCAATCATGTTCAAACCTCACTCGTGTATATCTTGGGATACATGTACACAATTGTTTCATGATCTGATTTAAGATGGCTGATTGGCAGCCATATTTCACTGTCCAAAATTCTTCAAAATGAAACCATTTTTGCCCCCCGATTCCAGAACCAGTTGTCAGGCATGGATGAATCATGTTAATACTTGATTCATAGAGTGGATAAGATTCAAAATTGCCGAGTGGTGGCCATTTTGTTTTAAACATGTGCTGTTCCACAGACATTTCTGATATGCCTCATTTATCAAGGGTTGTGTATGTACATATGCACTCAAATATGAACTTGTATATTGGAAATATCACGACAGGTTAGTGTGTGTATATGGCAAAACAATCTCGCCACTGATGGCCCTTCAGTATCCCAGTTTAGATTTGATTGGGATTCCTTTGACACCTTTAATCTAAGCCTCTTAAAAATCAACGACATGGCAGTGCTAGTTTAATATTTAAAACTCCCGTTTGAGTAGCTTCCCAACAGTATTGATTCATCAAAGTAGAAACTCTTTTACAAGTTTTGCAATATTGCAGATATTTTTAGCTCCGCTGTTGACTTTGTCGAGCGGAGCTTATCATATGAGTGATTGTCAGTCGTCGTCCGTTGTCCGTGTCAATGTTTTATATTTTCGACTTCTTGAAAACTACAAGCCTGAATGTTTTGATACTTGGTGTATATGTACCTTGGGTAGACCTCTCTCAGATTTGTTCATTTCATGATCATATCTTCAATTCTCAAATTTTGGTGAATATTTTTGTCATTTTTGATAAAAAGTGATATTTTCGACTTCTTGTTAAAAACCACAAGTCCAATTGCTTTGATATTACATATATAAGTACTACATGTGGACCTCTCTCAGATTTGTTCATTTTGTAATGATATTTTTAATTCTCTAATTTTGGTGAATATTTTTGTCATTTTTGGTAAAAAGTGATATTTTCTTGTTAAAAACCACAATCATTTATGGTGAAAAATGATATTTTTGAATTTTGAATATTGTTCATTTCCTAATGAAATCTTCTGTTTTTTAAATGAAATGTGCATTGCTAACAGCGGAGCTATCTCAGCAGAGAGGCTGCTTGTTTTACTCATTCAATATAAACTATTGCCAGCACCGAATTTTTGTAGGGAATTCCCGACAAGACGCGCGTTTTGAATTATGATTGCATTTAGGTGAGGGTAATTTCTAAAAGGCGCCCTCTAGTGGCAGAGCGCTTCTAGGACGAATATAGACTGGAGAGAAATCATCCGCCAGTCATAAATCTTACCTGTTCATGCAAAATAAAAATGTTACTTCCATTTATAACCACTGGTTCATGCTGTTAAAATAAATATTTAGCTCGCAGTCACATGCTTAAGCCAAAATATAGATTTTTTTTTTTATAAATATGCTTATCAGTATTGCTTATCGGTGACTGCACAAATAAACCAGCACTAACTAGGAATAATTATTCACTGGTACTTACAGTACACAAAATGTATATAAAACTAATGAGACACTTATAAGATGTGCTTGAAATTGGGGTAAAAATTCATAAAACAAGCTAATATTCCTCCCGACTTAAGGCGATCACCGTTATACACCAACTAACTTTGATACAATCATTATTTTGGTTGCAATTTGGAGTCAAATTTTAGATCAAATTCATAAAACATGCTAACATTCCTATCGAGTTGAGGCGATAATAACCACAGTTTTAAAACTGATACACATCAACTAACTAGTATTAAATAATCTCCAATGTCTACATTATATGTAAAATATTTCAAACCTTTGGCACAATCGTTTTTTTGGTTGCAATTTGGGGTCAAAATGCCGATTTTTAGATCAAATTCATAAAACATGCTAACATTCCTTTCGAGTTGAGGCGATAATAACCACAGTTTGAAAACTGATACACACCAACTAACTAGTATTAAATAATCTCCAGTATCTATATTATATGTAAAATATTTCAGACCTTTGACACAATCATCATTTTGTTTGCAATTTGGGGTCAAAATGACGATTTTTAGATCAAATTCATAAAACATGCTAACATTCCTATCGAGTTGAGGCGATAATAACCACAGTTTGAAAACTGATACACACCAACTAACTAGTATTAAATAATCTCCAGTATCTATATTATATGGAAAATTTGTCAGACCTTTGACACAATCATCATTTTGGTTGCAATTTGGGGTCAAAATGACGATTTTTAGATCAAATTCATAAAACACGCTCACATTCCTTCTGATCTGCAGACCTTTGACACAACATGTATACAGAATGCGCCCAATAGCATGGCTGTGAAAATGAAGTTTAGCTTTATAGTGCAAGAAAAGAAAGATGAAATTGAAATGCTATTTTGTCTTTTCTCTCTCCTCTCAAACAAGAATCTATCAACTGTCTAATCTAACTATAAAGTATTTTTTTTAATAAAACTACTGATTATAGTAAAACATGTCAAAACCAACCAGAAACTTGTCACAACAGAAAAGTCTGTGGGTGAAAACATGCCGTTAAAATTGACAACTATGTTTGTGTGGTATTTTTTGATATAGAATATAGTAAAATGTCTCAAAAAATACTCTCTTGTCGATGGACGACTACAGATTAAAACTACTAGTATATCTGAGCTTTAAACGTTGTTCGGGTCATCAATTAACATCATAAAAACGTGTCGTAGCTAGGGGGCGCTATTTATTGGAAAGGTGTATTGCAATAATAAAGCGGAACATTATGGGGATTTTCTAGTTAAGTGCATGACAACTTCAAAACGATGAGTGGCTAAGCAACTTTAAAATTGCCTTGACCATTGAACATGAACTTCTTCAATTTAAAAAACGCATAATTGAAAGTACGCACCTTCATTCACAATTGTGATTAAGTATTTAATGCAAAATGTTATAGTTTGGGTGTATTTGAAGACTGAATAGTTTTCTGTGACCATTAAAATGGGGATTTTATAAATGTTTGAACTTGCCGGATATCACATTCGGCTCTGTTTGTACCGTAAGTAACTTGCTGTTTTAAGTGGTTTTTCTTCTGTTAAATATCCATAAACATATCACCTTGCCCGTACGTGTATACAGTATTGTGTTCTTTCGAAAGCCAGTTGACGAGAATTTGGAAGGGGTACACTGATTGAGGGTTAAGGTAGCGGGACTATTATTTGCATACTTGTTTTCATCTTCTAATTGTGACTAAATGACTACAAATAGACCCGGGAAAGTATATATTTTTAGAATCGCCAGACTTCAAGCTTTTCACAAGTGTATTTTGCATGCCCGTATCTGCATTCTACGACGCGTTACTCAATCAAAGGTGAAAAATTACTTTTTCTGTAAAAAAAATAATTACGCATTTATG